ATGAAGTGAAAAGCTGTGGTCCCAACACACTGACCCTTGCGGAACACCACTTGTCACCAGCTGCCATCCTGAGAAAGACCCTTTTTAACGCTACTCTTTGCTTTTTGCCAAACAGCCAATCTTCTATCTATGCTAGCACCTTGCCTCTAACACCATGGGCCCTTATCTTACTCAGCAGCCTCCTGCCTGGCACCTTTATCAAAGGCCTTCTTGAAGTCCAGGTAGATAACATCCATTGGCGCTCCTTGGTCTAACCTGACCGTTACTTCCTCAAAGAATTCTAACAGATTTGTCAGGCATGACCTCCTCTTGATGAAGCCATGCTGACTTTGCCCTATTTTTACCAAGTATTCAGAAATCTCATCCTTCACAATGGACTCAAATCTTACCCACAACCAAGGTTAGGCTAATCAGCCTGTAATTGCCAGTCATTTGCTTACTCCCTTTTTAAACAGGGATGTGATGTTAGTGATTTTCCAGTTCTCTGGAACCCTCCCTGACTCTAGCGATTCCTGAAAGATCACCACTGACGCCTCCACTATTTCTTCAGCTGTCTCTTTAAGAGCTCTGGGGTGATTGGTCCATCTGGTCCAGGTGACTTATCCACCTTCAGGCCATTCAGTGTTTTTCTAGCACCTTCTCCTCGGGAATGGCCACCATACTCAACTCTGCCCCCTGACTCTCTTGAATTTTTGGGATATTGCGTGTCTTCCACTATGAAGACTGATGCAAAGTAATCATTCAGTTCCTCAGCTATTTCCTTGTTTCCCCACTACTATTCCTCCAGCATCATTTTCCAGCGGTCCAATGTCCACTTTTTGCCTCTTATATAATCTAAAGAAACTCTTAAAGTCCTCCTTTTATATTACTGGCTAGCTTACATCCTATAATCTTGTCCCTCCTTATTTCTTTTTCTTTTATTGCCTTCTGGACTTTGTAAGCCTCCCAGTCCTCTGGTTTCCCACTGCCCTTCGTCACGTTATATGCTTTCTCTTTTGCTTTTATGCTATGCCTGACTACCCTATCAGCCATGGTTGCCTCATCCTCCCTGTACCATGCTGCTTTTTCCTAGGTATGAATTTTTGCTTTGTCTCCTGAATTACTCCTAGAAACTCCTGCTATTGCTGTTTCACTATCTTTCCTGCTAGGCTCCTTTCCCAGTCAATTCTGCCCAGCTCCTCCCTCTGTATATGCCTTTATTCAGCTGTAATACTTCACCTCTGATTCTATCTTCTCCTAGAATCCCTACAGTGTGAAAACAGACCCTTCGGCCCAACAAGTCCACACCGACCCTTGGAGCACCCCCCTATAACCCACCTAAGCTGCACATCCTTGAACACTATGGGCAATTTAGCGTGGCCAATCCACCTAACCTGCACATCTTTGGACTGTGGGAGGAAACCGGAGTACCCGGAGGAAACCCATGCAGACACGGGGAGAATGTGCAAACTCCACACGGTCGCCGAAGGGTGGAATTGAACCCAGGTCCCTGGTGCTGTGAGGCAGCAGTGCTAATCACTGAGCCACTGTGCTGCCCTCTCAAATTGCAGAGTAAATTTAATCACATTATGATCACGGCCTTCTAAGGGTTCCTTCTCCTTAAGCTCCTTTTTCAAGTCTGCCTCGTTGCACAATACTAAATCCAGTATTGCCTGCTCCCCAGTGGGCTCCTCCAAAAACTGCTCCAAAAAGCCATCTCGCATACATTCCACAAATTCCTTTTTCAATCAGCTACCAACCTGATTTTTCCCAGTCTATCTGCATATTGAAATCCTCCATGATCACTAACTTTGCCTTTCTTTCGCACCTTTTTTATCTCCTGTTGTATCTTGTGCCCCAGCTCCTGACTACTGTTTGGAGGCATGTACATAATTTCAACTATGTTTTGTTTTACCTTTTTGTGGTTCTTCAACTCTACCCACACAGATTCTACACCATCTGACCCTACTTAGTTTCTTACTATTGATTTAATTTCATTTCTTACTAAAAAGGCAACCCCACCCCCTCTGCTCACCTGTCTATCTTTTCAATAGGATGTATATCCTTGATATTCAGCTCCCAGTCCTGATCCACTTGCAGCCATGTCTCCGTGATGCCCACCATGTCATATCTGCCAATTTCGATCTAAGCCACAAGCTCATTTACTTTATACTGCAGGCATTCGGATATAATACCTTCAGTCCTGTATTAACTGTCCCTCTTCTCATTGTCATTCGTTTATCTGGTGTGCTTGAAGTTTGATTGCTAACCATTTCCAGACACACTGTCCTATTTGTGTCAGTGCTGGAGACTTTAATAGCCTCTCCTAAGTTTTCCTTTCCTTTCCTGTCGTTTTTTTTCATATTTTTCCATGGAGTTGAATCCACCCCTACAGATGTTAGCCTGCTGCTTTGTTCCCCACTGGGGGAAGTTTTACCCTTCCCCTTCACCCAAACACCCGCCCCTCCCGCCGCCGCCCCCCAACTTTCTAGTTTGAAGTCCTGTTGACCAGCCTATTTATCCTTCTCGCTAGAACATTGGTCTGAGCTCAGTTCAGGTGGAGACCATCCCAGCGGTACAGACCCCTCCTGATCCAACTGATACCAGTGCCTTATGAAAAGGAACCCCTCTTCCCCACACCACACTCTTAGCCACGTGTTTGCTTCTCTTATTCTTGTGTCCCTGTGCCAATTTGCACATGGCTAGGGCAGTAATCCGGAGATTATAACCCTTAAGGACCTGTTCTTTAATTTCGTTCCTAGCTCCTGATAATCCCTGAACGGGTCCTATTTACTAGTCTTGCCTATGTTGTTTGTTTTGACATGGACCACAACTGGATCCTCCCCTTCCCTTCTCCAGTATCCTTTTAAGCCTGTCAGAGAGAGATCCCATACCTTGGCAGCGGCCAGGCAACACCACCATGCGGGACCCTTGATCCTGCTTCGAAATGATACTATCTATTCCCTTGATTATAGAATCCCCTACAACTATCACTTGTCTTTTTGCTTATCCCTCTTGAATGGCCTCCCGTACCACAGTGCAGTGGTCAGTTGGCTCATCCTCCCTGCAGCCCTTTTCTGCATCCACACAGGGAGCAAGTACCTCGTACCTGTTGGACAAGGTCAAGAGCTGAGGCTCCTCTGTTCCTGACTGCAGGATCCCTCTACCTGCCTTGCTTGCAGTCACCCCGCTGTTGTCCCTGGCCACTGACCAAATTGAAATACTTAATCTACCTGGTGTGACTGCCTCCTGAAGCAGTGTCCAGGTACTACTCCCCTGCCTGGATGTGTCGCAGTGTTTGAGGTTCAGATTCCAGCTCATCAACTCTGAGCTGAAGTTCCTCAAGCAACCAATAATTGCTGCAGATGTGATCACCGCCGTTCACAATGGGATCAGCCAGCTCCCACATCATACAGCTACAACACATCATCTGTCCAGCCACTTCTACTTAGTTAATTACTTTATTGAGTTAATTAAATTTATTGATACTACTTTGCTGTGTTTTTTTTCAAATTTAGTGCAGATTTCTTACCACCAATCAGGTCACAGCCTCCCTGTGATGTCACTCCTAGTTATTTTTTGCAGCTACAATATGCCCCGAGCTCCAGTAGGTTTATATACTCGCTGCTGCTTCGCCCTCTGTCAGCTTCCTGCCAACTAGGCCACGATCAATGGCTTAAGGGGCCATTTTCTGTGCTGTAGACCTCTATGACTATTTTCATTAAATTTGATTTGTAGTAATTCTCATTGCAAATTTACAAATTTGGAGGGGAGGTGGAATTGTTTCAAACCTGATTCCTTCCCCTTATGTTTGTGAAGGTAGGGGAAGCTTCCAAATTCTGTCATTCATCAAATCCTGTATATGTTGTATTTGTGCCTCCCATCACAGAATTGTACACTGTAGATACCATGCATCAAGCAATAATCATTGAGTTTTATGTTGTTTTCTTGTTGTCATCAATTTCCCCTGGACTTAATAGTTTCTGGGAAGGGAGGAGTGTTTCACTTTTCTAAAGACTTCCAACCCTCAGACAACGTTTTCAGCTTATGCTTAAAAATGAAGTGGGAGGACAGAAAACAGGATTTTAAATTAGCAATCTCTCCAACCTCTCCAGTCTTGCAACCCTCTGAAATCTTTGCACTCCAATTCTGACATCACGTGTGCATCTCTTATTCCTGTTGTCCCATCATTGGCTGTGATTTCAGCTGCATAGCCCCAGGATTGGGAATTCTTTTGCTAAGATAGCTCACATCTCTCCTCCTTCCAGAGACACCATAAAACTTAGCTGGCCAAATTTTTGGTCACTTGTCACATCTGTTTGGCTTGGGATCACATTTGTCTGATCATACACCTATGAAACCGAAATGTTATGATGTTAGAGGTCTTGTGTAGGTACAAATTGTCTTCTGATAACTGGTGAATTGTTATCTTTTGATATAACAAAAGTGTAGAGCTGGATGAACACAGCAGGCCCAAGCAGCATCAGAGGAGCAGGAAGGCTGACGTTTCGGGCCTTGACCCTTCTTCAGAAAATTTTCATTTTCAGAAAATTCATTTTCTGAAGGGTCTAGGCCTGAAACGTCAGCCTTCCTGCTCCTCTGATGCTGCTTGGCCTGCTGTGTTTATCCAGCTCTACACCTTGTTATCTCAGATTCTCCAGCATCTGCAGTTCCTGCTATCTCTGAAACAATTGTTATCTTTTAATGGGTTAGCAGGGTGCCATTGTATTAAATGTCTAATTCCTGATTTTTGATTTCAGGACAGCAATACCTACCTAAAACTATCCTCTTTTTAAGTTGATTTTCTCATTGAGAACGTGAGTGAGATGGATTAACTAGTCTGTAATTTCTTTTATCATATTGGCCAGTCAACTTCAACTATGTAAAATGGACAGAAGAATGTGAATCTTGAATTATAAATCAGTTTTTGAAAACCAACACTTCTCATTAGTAAGGAAAAAATGTTTGAAGTACATTTCAATGCTTTCTGAAGAAAACATTTAAATACTTTTTGTATTTAGAAATATAGTGTCCACTGTCAATCTGGGTTGTAAACTGGACCTGAAGACAATAGCTCTTCGAGCAAGAAATGCTGAATATAATCCAAAGGTGGGTGTCTGTGCATATACAATTAATGTATGTGTGTCTGAATGATTGATTCAGTGAAATATCTTCAAGACTTTTAACAAAAAGTATTAAAATGAAGAAGTCAATCCACTTTCCAACATACTCTAGACCTATTTAGGCAGGGGGAGGGGAGGTTTATGGTGCCAAAGAGAGGTGGGAATCAGACCAAGTTTTGATGTGACACTTCCCTTTCTCTCGTATTCAAAAATGTCATTTGTTGCAGTATTTTTTTTTTGTGCTGGTCCCTTGCAGTACAAGATAAACTCAAAAGTCTTTGTTTACAATGCAGGCACAAAATACAGCAAGTACCTTTCAACTTGACAACATTGAACACAATTCATGAAGATGAAACTGGAAGGCTTGATTTTCAAAAAAAGGCGTAGATTTCTACAAAGATTTAACTTGCAGTTATGTAGTGTTTTGGGCACCATATTTCACAATAGCCCCCTCCAAGCCTTGAGAGCAGTTGCTGAATAGGATTATTCCATTTGAATCACTCTTTGAAATGTATAAATTCTTAATTGGCCAAGTACCAATGGGAGCCGAGTGGCTACTTCTCCAGTGGGAGTGTGTGTAACCTTGAAGAAGGGGACTAGATGAGAAATTTCATCTGTGTGCAAATCTGTGAAATTCTTAATCTCAGGGAGTTGTGCATTCTTGGTCAATGAATATATTTAAGACTGAGTTTGATAGATATTAGGCTACACGTGAAAGAGGGTTACGAAATTTGTGGGGAAAATGGAGTTGATATGGTTTCACATTTAAGTAGTCTGAAATATCGTGCAACCAAATGCGAAGTAAAGCTTTTCTGCTGTTCCTCAATCCTAATCTCAAAAAAGCACCACCTTACTGTGATGAATGATAAAACCGTAAAATATAGGAGCAGAATTAGGGCATTTGACCCATTGACTCTACTGCGCCATTTGATCATGACTTGTATGTTTCTCAACCCCATTCTTCTGTCTTCTCCCCAAAACCTTTGACCCTGTTACCAATCAAGAACCAATCTATTTCTGTTCTAAATACACTCAATGACTTATGTGGCAATGAGTTCCACAGACTAATTACCCCTGGCTGAAGGAATTCCACCTTATCTCAGTTCTAAAGAGTCACCTTTTCACACAACTAGAGGAAACATCTTCTACGTATCCACTCTAATGAGGCTTTACGGTATTCTGTAAGCTTCAATCAGATTTCCCCCCCACTTCTAAGCTCCATTGACTACAGACGCCAAACCCTCATCCGCTCCTCATTTGACAAGCCCTTCATCCATAGAACCATAGAACCCTTACAGTGTGGAAACAGGACCTTCAACCCAACAAGTCCACACCGATACTCAGAGCATCCCACCCAGACACGACCCGCATAGCCTACCTAATCTACACATCTCTGAACACTACGGGCAATTTAGCATGGCCAACCCACCTAACATGCACATCTTTGGACTGTGGAACGAAACCGGAGCACCCGGAGGAAACCCACGCAGGCACAGGGAGAACGTGCAAACTCTACACAGACAGTCACCCAAGGCTGGGATCGAACCTGGGTCCCTGGCGCTGTGAGGCAGCAGTGCTAACCACTGAGCCATTGTGCCACCCCAGGATCATTTTTTTCAACCTCCTCGAACTCCTCAAGGGTCTCAAAACTGCTCACAATATTCCAAATGCAGTGATTCCAGAGCCTTATACAGCCTCAGCAATAAATACCTGCTCTTGAATTCTAGCCCTCTTGAAATGAATGCTAAAGTTGCATTTGCCTTCCTAACTGCCAATTGAACCTATATGTTAACCTTAAGATAATCCTGAACTCGGACTCCCAAGTCCTTTTGTGCTTCAGATTTCCAAAGCATTTCCCCATTTAGGAAAAAAATCTACACCTCTATTCTTCCTATGAAAGTGCATACCCTCGGACTTTCTGACATTGTATTCCATCTGCCACTTCTTTCCCACTCTCTTAGCCTGTCTGCAGCCTCTCTGTTTCCTCGAAATTACCTTCCCTCTCCACCTACCTTTTTGTTATTTGTTGCTAAGTTTGCAAAGTGCTCAGTTCCTTCATCCAGTTTGTTAATGTATATTGTGACTAGTTGTGTCCCAACTAGAGTCTAATATCAGACTCCAGATGGGTTTCCCTCAGAGCTGGTCGACCCTAGAATTTCGAGTATTACCAGATCATACAGGGATTACTGACCACAGTCTAACTGAAGACTTTTATCTATTACAGCGTTTTGCTGCTGTCATCATGAGAATCCGGGAGCCTCGTACAACTGCACTTATTTTCAGCTCTGGAAAAATGGTGTGCACTGGTGCAAAGAGGTAGGGACATTATTAATTTATCAGTGCTCTGATTAAAATCACTTCTTAACCTGCTTTAGAGTTCATAGTAAAATATAACAATGAATTGCAAATGTTGAAGATCTGAAGCAAAACCAGAAATTGCTGGAGAAACTCAACAGGTCTGGCAGCATCTATGGAGAGAAAACAGGGTTGATGTTTCAACTCCAGTGACTCTTCAGTATTTAGAATCCAATGAATTGTCTTCAGATCTTTACCTCTACTTTCTCCCCACGTGCTGCCAGACCTGTTGAGCAATTTCTGTTTTTGTTTTAGATTTGTGTTTAACGTTTCCATGCAATAATAATCCCTAGTGGATGCTAATCTCCCTTTTTCCTTTTCCCTCATCAGATGGCAATAACTGTCTGGGAACATTAATGCTAAGTTTCAGTAAAATATCAGTCTTGATGAATGTTCTTCCTCCTGCCTAGCATTAAAAGAGACAAGACATCAACCTGAATGTATCAGGTTAGACCAGTGTTGCCTGATTCTTGCCTTTCATGTAAAGGATGGCTCCTTTCCATCATGGTGAGAAAGGAAGACCTTATCTTTCAAACAACCGATTTCTAGAATCCAGGCATTGATTACATGATCATTTTACATTGAGGGCAGGATTGATTTGATTGCTACAATAAATATTTTGAAACAATTTAATTAACTGGGTAACGCAATTTTGTTTTAAGGATATGTTCACATGAATTTTGTTTTGTTTTCATTAACTTTATAAGTAAAGAAGGTAATACACTGGTAGGACTTTGTGTAAAGGGATTTATGGAAATAAAAATACATTACAGCGTGATTGTGTAGAATTATTTGGTCCATTGTGCTCTCTGTCTATACTCTCTTTTTCCATTTTAAATTCCACAATTGACTTTTTAATAGCCACTTGCTGTAATGCAATTTCTAATCTGAAAGTCTCTTGAATCAAAGTATGCCCCCTTGAATATTATTATGCCTCATGTTCGCAATTCATATTGAGGTTCTGAGGAAGAGTCACTGGACCCAAAATGTTAACTCTGATTTCTCTTCACAGATACTGCCAGACCTGCTGAGCTTTTCCAGCAACTTCTGTTTTTGTTTCATGTTGAGATATAGTTATTTTTATTTAGCAAATGCAGATGGGATAACTTGTCATTGTTGGTAGACTGTTCTAGCCTTTAAAATTTGATAAATACGCTAAAACCCTGGTCACCAAGCTACTGAACTCTCACCTTGGTATACATTCTTGCACATTAATCCAAAAGTCAGTATGCTCCAGAAGAAACTGGAACTGTTGTGTCCACTCCATTGTTTAATTGCTGATCTCCAAATTTGTAAACAAAAATCTTCCTAATTGAGAAATATTTCAAGGTTACTTGCTGTGCACAGGTTATTAAGGAATATATCTGCATTTGAGAACTGAGGAACACCACAAGTGGCTCTCATCAGAATTTGGCTGGAAAATCTGATAACGTAATAGAGACATTATGCAAAAAGGAATTTAGTTAGCATCAGAAGTTGTATTTTCTTTTTCAAATTTTACACTTTCTAAAAATAATATGCTCATTTTGTTGCTAATGGCTTTTTGAAGCATTACTGCTATTTATTTGAAATTTTAAAAATTAAACTTTAATCAAGGAACCACATTATGCATTGTAAACTCAGTAGTCAGGCAGCATTTGTGGAAACAAGATTATTGTTTTAGATAGAAATGTTTTAATGAAACGCTATTGACCTGAACATCAAGTCTTGCTCTCTCTCTTCTGTCCAACCCCACCCTTTTCAAGTGTTTTAGAACACTTTTAATTTGTTACTTGAAATTAACATTCTTTCCTTTTGACTTGATTTCAGTCCAGTCTTCCAATGAAAAACGCTAATACCACTTTTTCAAGTTGTGCCTGATAGGAAATGATTATTGTTTTCAGTGCCAGTAGAAAAGTAATGAGTGTTAAACCTTGTTTCCTATTGCAGTGAAGAGCAGTCACGTTTGGCTGCGAGAAAATATGCTAGGGTGGTACAGAAATTGGGATTCCCAGCTAAGTTTCTGGATTTTAAGATTCAAAACATGGTGGGCAGCTGTGATGTGAAATTTCCCATTCGACTAGAGGGCCTGGTGCTCACTCATCAGCAATTCAGCAGGTAAAAAAAAGGGAAGATGTCTCAAGACTTCAATCAGAGGACAACGTTTAAAACTAACAGTCATGTTTGCGTATACTGATTACTGTAGAGAAAGGGAGCTTCTGTTTATCTGTTAAATACAAAGACACAGGAATCATTACAGCAAGAATTGAAGTTTTGGCACCTTCATTCTATGGGTTGCATGGCTGCCTATTGAGTCAGTGGGTTCAAGGGTCACTCCAAATGACTTCACATAATCCAGGTTGATGGTCTGCAGTAATGTAATACTCCGTCAATGGCTACTGTATTGCATTCATAGGTTTTTTGCCCCAGCCTCAACTTGATCAGTTTTCTATATCTTCAGCCAATTTCTGGGACTAAATTAGGTTTTAGAAGAAAGGGAAAGCTCATCAGAGATGGATAGTTAAAAGTGGGTAGTATTTGTTTGCAGCAATCCCAATGAGCTACCAAGGTGATGTATTTTGGATTCAGCTATTGCATCCTGTTCCCAACTTAAATTAAATGTATGCTCTAAATCATTGCATTTTACTCATTCAACAGGGAAATACATTTGTAGACTATTAAAATACTAAATTAGATATATAATTTAAACTTTCATATACTGGTATTAGACAACCTAGAATAAAGACAACTTATGGTCAGACCAAGGGAACCTTACACACGTCATTCTGATCTCTTCTGCTTTGTATTTCAGATATGAACAAGGTACAGGAATAGGCCATTTGTGTCACAAGCCTGCTCTGCTATTTAATAAGCTCATAACTGATCTGATTTATAACATCAAATCTATATTTTGAGTCAACTGTTGAAAACCTTTCTTCTGCTTGTGTACCAAAAGTCTCTTCACCTCAGCCTTAAGACTATTCAAACACTCTGCTTCTTCCTTTTCAGGAAGTATTCCAAAGACACTCAATCCTCTGTAAGAGAAGAATTCACCTTTTCCCAGTTATAAATGGGCAACTCATTTTGAAAATGATTCCTAGTTCTAGATTCTCCCATAAGAAATATCCTCACCACATCTATTGTCAAGATACCTCATGATCTTCTATTTTCATTCAAGTAGCTTCTTGTGCTTCTAAACTCCATTGGATACAAGCCTAGCCTATCCAAACTTTCCTCATTAAAACAAGTCACCATTTCAGATATTAGTCTGGTAAACCTGTTCTGACCTGCTTTCGACACATTTTCTTCATTCCACTGCTGTATGCAGTACCACAGATGTGGTCTCACTGCACTTGGTATAAAAAGCATGACTTCCTGACCTTTATATTTCCCTACCTTTTTATATTCAATTTCTCTTGCAATGTGTAATATTCTGTTTGCTTTCCAGAGTTGCTTGTTGCACCTGCATATTGGCTATTTACAATTCATGCACGAGTGCACCCAGATCCCTCAGCAATCTGTCACCATTTAGATAACTAACTTTGTTTTATTCTTTTTTGCCAGACTGAACAGTTTCATATTTTCCCACATTGTACTCCATTTGCCAGGTATTTGCCCACTCATTTGATCTACCTAGTCTTTTTGTAGCCCCCTTATGTGCTGTGTGCATCATTAGCAAATTTAGCAACTACCCCTCCGTCCCTTTATCCAAGTTATTTGTATAAATGGTGAGTGGTGAAGTCCTATCACCCCTACCCCATGGCATATTACTTGTTACCGTTGCCAAACAGCGCCAGGGACTCAGGTTCGATTCCAGCCTTGAGTGACTGTCTATCTGCCAATCACTCTTCTATCCTTGCCAATGTGCCAACCCCTACACCATGAGCCTTTATTTTCTGCAATAACCTTTGTAGAACTTTATCCAAAGACTTCTGGAAATCTAAATACAGCACATCCACCAGTTCTAGTTTATCCACAGAACGTTATCTCCTCAAAGGGCTCATGTATGTTAGCTGAACATGATTTCACTTCCATGGGCTTGTTGGTCTCGGGGTATGATTCTAGTTTTGGGGCTTACACAGTACAGACATGTAAGAGGCCCTGGGTTCAAATCCTGGATGAGCCCTGATTGCTCGCCTTCAGTTTAAGGGCGGCTCAGTGGTTAGCACTGCTGCCTCAACGCCAGGGACACGGGTTCGATTCCAGTCTTGAGTGACTGTCTGTCTGTGTGGGGTTTGCGCATTCTGCCACTGTCTGCAGGGGTTTCAGCTGGGTGCTCTGGTTTCCTCCCACAACTCAATGATGTGCCGGTTAGGTGGATTGGCAATGCTAAATTTTCTGTAATGTCCGGGGATATGCAGGCTAGGTGGATTATCCGTGGTAAATGTAGGGTTTCAGGGATGGAGTAAGGGGCTGGATCTGGGTGGAATGCTCTTCAGAGGATCAGTGCAGACTTGATGGGCTGAATGTCCTCTTTCTGTATTGTAGGGATTCTGTGAAATCATGTTGACTCTACTTTGATTACCTTGAGCTTTTCTAAGTGCCTTATTTCAACTTCTTTTAATATCTTCTAACATTTTCCCTATGACATGTTAAGCTAACTGGCTTGCAGTTGGCTGCTTTCTGTCTTTATAGACAATAAGACATGGGAGCAGATGTAGGCCTTTCAGCCCATTGAGTCTGCTGCTCCATTTAATGAGCTCGTGGCTGATGTTATTGTTCTCAATTTCACTTTACTGCCTTTTCCCCATAAACCTTTCTTTCCCTTTCAGGTTAAAAGTCTGTCAGTCTCAACCATGAATATATTTAATGACCCAGTCTCAACAGACCTCTGTGATAATGAATTCCATAGATTCACAACCCTCTGAGAGAAGAAATTCTTCCTTATCTCTGTCTTAAATGTGCATCCCTTTATTCTGAGATTATGCCCTCTGGTCCTAGACAGTCCCACCCTGAGGGGGAAAAAGGCCTTTCCTCATCTACCCCATCAAGTCTCCTAAGAATCTTGTCTGTTTCAATAAGGTCGCCTCACATTCTTCTATATTTCAACGAGTACAGTTCCAAACTAGTCAACCTCTCCTCATAAGCAGTTCCTCCATACCTAGTGTTAGCCTTGTGAACGTTCTCTGACTGTCTCCAATGCCAGTCGATCTTTCCTTAGATAAGGGACCCATAACTGTTTACAATAGACCAGCAGTATTCTGTCTAGTGATTTGTAGAGTTTTTGAATATGAGCTATTACATTCGCTATCTTCTAAACTAATGGAACCTTCCATGAATCCTGCTTTCTATAGGACTAATACTCAACTTAACCTTTATTTTTAAAATAGTTACAGAAACTTTTACTATCTGTTTTTTTTCTCTCGTACTCTAAATTGCTCCTTTATTGATGTTCTAATCTTTTTGATTTTTTTTATATTTTGATCAATCTTTTCTGCCACCTGCCTTAAAAACATAGGAACTAGGAGGAGGAGGAGTAGGCAATTCAGCCTTTTGCGCTGTTCCACTCATCTCAGCCTCAATTCCACTTTCCTGTCCACACTCCATAACCCTTCAACCTATTACTAATTAAATTTAGCCAAATGTCTCAGCATTCACTGCGCTCACAGATTCATGACCCTATGAGAAGCAATTTTGTCTTGTCCGTTTTAAATCTGCTACCTCTTATCCTAAAACTGTGACCTTTTGTTCTAGATTGCCCACATGAGGCAACATCCTTTGTGCATCCACTTTGTCAATCACCCATAAGCATCTTGCAAAACTCAATTAGATCTCCTCTCACTTCTGCAGAGAGTCTAGGCCTAAACTGCTCAATCTTTCTTCATAAGACAAGCCTGGAATCAATGAAGTGAACCTCCTTTTGAACTGCTTCCAACACAAATACATGCTTGCTCAAGTAAGGGGACCAAAATTGTAAGCAGTACTCCAGGTGTGATCTCACTAGTCCCTTGACAATTACAGCAACACTTCCCTACCTTTATACTCTATTCCTTTAACAGTAATTACCAAAATTCCATTTGGTTTCCATACTACCTGCATACTAGTTTCCCCGTGATTAATGCCAAGGATACCCAGGTCCCTCTGCATCGAAGCACACCCAAGTTTCTCTGCATTTAGATAATTTGTCTTTCTGTTCCTCCAACAAAATTAGGTAACCTCACCTAACCTATCCATATCCATTTGTAAATTTCTTATTTCTTCATTGCAAATTACTTCCTTTCCCATCTATTTTAATGTCATCTGCATATTTTTTATAGTACTTTCTATCCCCACATCCAAGTAATTAATATAGATTTAAAATAGTCGGAGCCTGAGGATTGAACCCAGTGGCACCCCGTTATTTACACCTTGCCAACCAGAAAAAGATATGTTTATCTCGACTCCATCTTCTATTGGTTAGCCAATCCTCTATCTATGCTGGTAAATCACCGCTACCCAATGTGATCTTTCTTTGTATATTAATCTTTTATGCAGTACTTTATCAAATGCCTTCTAGAAATCCAGATATACTACATTTACAAGATCCTCATTATCCATATTGCTTATTACATCTGCAAAGAACTCTAGCAAATTAGTCAAACGTGATTTACCCTTTGTAAAACCATGTTGATTCTGATGGAGATAGTAGGAGAAGGGTCTAGGCCCGAAACGTCAGCCTTCCTGCTCCTCTGATGCTGCTTGGCCTGCTGTGTTCATCCAGCACTACGCCTTGTTATCTTTGATTCTGATGGATTGTATTTTGACTTTGCGCAATTATTTTTGTCTTCAAAGTTAATACTGTCTTTAAACTTTCCAGTTAAATATTTTTGTTATTAAAATATGAGTCTCTGACCCACTCCCCTCTCTCTCGAATTGAATATTGAAAATTCAATCATCTTGTGCTCACTGCTACCAAGGGGCGACTTCTACAATGCAATTATTAATCCTGTCTCATTGCACAATACCAGGTCTTGAATAGCCTGATATTAAAAAAGAGAAACTCAGAAGGTCCAGCAGCATTTGTGGGGACAGAAACTGTTAACGTTGCAAGTCCAATGTAACTTTTCTTCTGATCATATAGCCTGCTGCCTGGTCAGTTCTGGAGCATGCTTTTCTAAGAAACTTTCTGTGAGCTTTGCATGTGGGGCTGCCTTTGCCAATCTGATTTGTCCAATCTCTGTGTTGATTAAAATCTCCCATGATTGTTGTCATGTTGTTCTGACAATCTTACATTATCTCTTCCTTTATAATCCACCCTATTGTCTGTGACTACTGTAAAGTGGCCTGTACACCACTCCATAAGTGATTTCTTGCCTGTGGATTGAGATGAGAAATAACAAACTGTTTCCACATCTGGTTTCCTGAACTCCAGTCATCACTTTCGATTGTGCCAATACCATAATTAACTAACAGAGCTACTAGTCCACATTTTCCTCACTTCCTGTTCTTCCTAAATGTTTTGTACCATTCAACATTTAGGTACCGATCTGTCTTTCTGCAGTCATGTCTCTATAATGGGTGCTATAACATACTTCCTTTTAAGTTGGAAAGGTAATCCTGTTGTCAGGAAAATATGAATGCCATGGCTGTATTTATTAAGTTCTCTCTATTGTGCCCCAAATTTATGGTAACCCATACTGGTCCATATTTCCCGTGGAAAGATTATTTTTCATTCAACAAATGTCAGTTTTGTCTTTTGTCCAGTTGGAGCTTGATTAGAACTGGATTGTGCCTATAAAACTGTGGATCTGTCGGTCCATCACTCCGGGGAAAGTGATTAGGACCTGAGCAATGAATAGGATTTCAGTTATAATTATAAATATCCAAAATTGCATATTGAGCCAGTTTGCAATAAGTTGTTGTTGTATATGCCACAGTAAGTTGTTGTGGTAGTACGTGGTCAGTTATCAGCTTTTTTTTTTATTTTGCAGTTATGAGCCTGAGCTGTTTCCTGGATTAATCTATCGAATGATCAAACCAAGAATTGTACTGCTAATATTCGTGTCTGGAAAAGTTGTATTGACCGGTAGGTTGCATCATTTGTTTGCCTTTTTATATTGCTTTTCATAGCTGATTGTTTACCTGAGAGTTCTGCTTAATTTAATTATTCTTTTTCCCTTTTACGTTAGCTTGACGTAGCTCGCAAAGGGGAAAATGTCAAATTTGGATTTAACTTCTTTACAAAGATGATGAATATATTGAACAGAGCCAGGAAAGTTGAGAGAGCCAAGTTGACTGAGTTAACCAAATCAAGGAGGAAATGTTGATAGTGCAATTGGAGGTGTATTAGGGAGAACTGTGTAATATTTTTAAAGCTTTCAGACTGACAAGTGGATCTCAATGGCCCCTTCTAGTGTTGTAAGTTCCTATGACACAAGCTAGATTATTCACTTTGTCAAACAGCTGCATAAATTCGAAGAAAATGCCTCCTTTCTCTTCCCTGATTTGCCTTCGTTCTGCCTTTCTTGATCTATTTCATTAGCAATAGAAAAATGTCAGTCCTGGAAATAGTGTATTAAGGCAATGCAGCTGAGGTTAGTAGAATCATCTTTGCACTTTGAGTGCCATTCACATATAACAAAATAATAGACAATCTTTACATCAATCCAAGAAAATCCCATTAGTTGCTGTTTTACTCCACCATCCAGTTGATTGAGACATCCAATGTTTATATTTCCTAGCGACTTATTCTTTTTGTGGATAACACTGTGAAATTCCTGATAATTAGTGCTACATTTTATAGATAATTATTTTGAATCAATGAACTGTTTTTCCAAATTTAAAGCAATTTTCCTGCTTCCCCTCTTCCATTCCCTTGACTATTTTGTATTCATAACATCAGTTTTTAAGGTGCCTTTTTTTTTCAGGTTTAATCAATCTTCTCTTAGGTCAAGCGTTTTGATAGGAGGGGTCCATCTAGTGGCTCTTCTCTGCAGTACTGCCTAAGTCTTGACAACTTACGTTAGGGTTTTTGTTGTTCTGCATTATTGCCTCTAGATCGTTCAAAAGCAATCATCGTCCAGACTTTTTACTTTTTATTGCTGATTCTTTCACTTTGCATTTTTTCTTTGATTTTTTTTTTTCTCCACTGGCAAGTTCAACAACGCATTGAGCACAGCCCTCAAACCACAACCACTTAGTTATATAATCACCAGTCTCCAGTTACAGCACCAAATTCTATGAGCAAGACCTAGATAGTTCTTCAATGTTTGCGGCCCTAGCTACTGTCTTGCCTGAACATTTTTGAAGGATTTGGTCTGATGTTTTTCTGTTGAAATATATGACAGTGTAATTGTTTGTGGTTAAAATAACTCCAATACTTTATTAAAAATTTTGAGGCAAGACATTTCTACAAAAGTGGAGTCTTATGGTAGACCATCCTTCACATCTCCTTCAGCCAAGAGCTTACAGCCTTCTCTCAACTGCCTTCAATAATTGAATATTTATCTTGTAATTACCATTGAAGATGCCTTTACCAACGACACTTGTAACTTCAAAATCATGTTTTTTGATTTAGATTGTATCTCTAATTTTATTTACTTAATTGTCTGGTAGCTCTCAACCAAAACTTCAGCAATTCATCTGCCAAAACTTGTCCATCTTCCCTATCTCAAGTGTTCTGTTTAAACTGCATTCCACATTTTCATTTCTAGTAATGTCATTTCCTTATGCTAATGTGTGTGGAATTCTATCTCCCACCTCTTCCCATTGAGGTTATTGTGCGCTAGTTAGCTTCTGCAAACCTTTTTTTTTTTTTTTTGAATCAACCTGGTCAGATATATCATTACACACGTCTAGAGCAGGTGGGACTTGAACCCAGGACACCTGGCTCAGAGGTAGAGACACTGCTATTGCATCAAACGAGCCCTTATGCAAATTTAGACACCTTGTTCATTTCTTGTCCTTTAATTACAAAGAAATATTCATACAAATATACTTAAGGTTGAGTTAATAGATTCTTGATTTGACAAGGGAATCTAGAGATTACAAGGTAGACGGAAAAATAGAGTTGACGCCACCATCTGGTTAACAAATCAAATAAAGGACAATTCATCATTATTATCCTCATTATATCTGTTCTTCTTTCACTTGCTATACAGCAGTTAAAGCATGCACTATCAATACAATGCTTCATTTCTTTTGATTTCTTTATTAGAAATCTCAAATATCTGTACTACTCTTCCAAAAGACGGCATAACATTTCTGAAAAATTGTTTCTTTTGTATTTCCAATAGTGGAATTTAAAATTGTCACTGGTGCCTGAAACATTGGAGGGCAATTATTGTCACATTCAAACTAATACTGGAAATTTTGTTCATCTTTTAAAACTGAAGTTTAGGCATCAAAAAGGTGCATTATGCTTTCAACTTTTTCATTTTTGAAATATACGACAATGCAAATTATCTTTCCAGTTTCATTTGGAAGACTGGTCTTGTTGCACATGCTGAGTCTAACAGCACATCACACAATTGTGTACATATAGATATATTTCAAGTCACAATGTGGCTAGTAGCAAGGCTGTTAAGTTGGAATGGTATGGGGATATGTTCTGATAACTAATTTTTATCATTTAAGGACAGGAAAACATTTCAGCTTTGTGGTTAACTTGTGATCTAATTGATTTAAAATTTCAACACACTTCTGGATTCAGTAGATTTGAAGAAAATACACAACATAGAAACTGGCCTATGTTCTTCTTGAGCCTCCCATTCTACTTCATCTAACCCTATCAGCACAACTTTCTATTCCTTTCTTGCTCTTGTTTATCTCATTTTGCCTTAAATATATCAATGCTACTGACCTCAATCACTTTATTTGTTTAAAAACTGAAAAGTCTCTTGCCCTTTATTGTTTAACACACTAATCCATTCTCAAGTTTCCCAGTTGATCTATTGATATATAATTTTTATTTTGAAGGTGCAAAAGTCCGTGCAGAAATCTATGAAGCATTTGAAAACATCTATCCAATTTTGAAAGGTTTCAGGAAGACAACATAACTGTTCACAAGGACTTTCTACTCTCTGAAGGACCATTTCATTTGCCTGCTGCCTTGTACAGCCTGTATAGTTGAATGCTGTTTTCTGCTGCAATGTTTACATGGGGTGATTCAAATTTATTATTTGCCATGGTTTAGGAGTAAAATTAGTACTTTTTAAAATAGTACCATTCTCGCCACCCTGTGACAGCAGTTTTTGCAAAATCATTGTCGGGAATTTGAGTTATCTTTTACTTGGAATTTTATCAACCGATGAAACATTTTGTTTTGCATGTTATTTATATTGAACTTTTTATAAAATGTAAGCCATGTAAATGTATGTTAATGTATTTTCTCAAGTTCATTTTTTAAAAAATTCAATCTTACTTGAAAATATCTTGCTTTTCAAAGCAAGATAAAAGACTGTTCCCTAAATTAGCAACCGATTTACAACTGAGATTTTTACATTAAATTTTTTTTTCATTCCGTACAATGCATTGTTATGATTGTTAATGGCAATGTTGTGTGGGTATCTGAATATTTAACATGTTGATGCTGGTTTCTTTGTAACTGAGTAGAATTTCCAAGAAACTTGCTGACTGGCCATGATTTCATTCAGTAGTAGCATATGTTTGAGGGGCTAAATTGTCTGGTCTTGTCAGTGTTCCTCTGCAGCCAAATTCTCACTTTCTTCAATATTGACGGGTTCAAACCCTACTTTTTGGAGTGGGAATAGAGGATCACAGCTGTGGCTTGGATCATCTCACTTTTGACAGAGTCATGCTGCATAGAAGCAGGCCCTTAGTCCATCATGCCTATGCCAACCAACAAACACCAAAATGAACTAATTCCACACACCTGCACTTGGTCTAAAGCTTACTATGCTCTGCCATTTTAAGTACTCATCCAGATGCTGCTTAAATGCTGTGAGAGCACCTGTCTCCACCGCCCACCTTGGGCAGTATGTTCCATATGTCTACCGCCCTCTGGGTAAAAAAGCTTTTTTTTCCCAATCTCCCCTAAACCACTTTGTTCTCGCCTTAAACTTATGCCCTCTGGTCTTAGACATGGCTGCCGTGGAGAAGAGATTCTCATGATCTTTTGTCTATGCTTCTCATAATTTTATATACCTCAATCAGATTCTCTTCAGCCTCCTCTGCTCCAAGGAAAACAAACCCAGCCTGTCTAGTCGCTTCTCATAACTGAGATTCTCATCTCAGGCAATATCTTGGTGAATCTCCTCTGCACCTCTCCAGTGCAGTCATGTCCCGTAAGTGTGATGACCAGAGTTGCACACAGTATTCCATCTGTGGCATAACCAGTGTTTTATCAAGTTGTAACAAGATTTCTTTGCTTCCATATTCTATGCCCCAGCTAATGAAGGCAAGCATCCTATATGCCCCATTCATCACCTTGTCTACCTGTGTTAACACCTTCAGGGATCTGCGGACTTGTACATCAAGGTTCCTTTGTTTCTTCGTACTCCTATCTATCATTGTATATATCCTTCCCTTATTAGATCTCCCAAAATTCATCACTTCACACTTATCAGGATTAAATTCCATCTGCCATTGCTGTATCCAGCAATTACCAGCTGATCAATATTAGTCTATAGATTGAGACCATCCTTCTCACCACCCCGCCCCCAAGTTTTCATGTCATCTGCAAACTTTGCACTACCCTCATCAATATATTTAGTCATCTTTTTAAACAAAAACTCAAATTAGTCATTCAGAGTCTCCCTCTAACAAATCCATGCTGATCACTCTGATCAATCCCTTTTTTCCCAAGTATTGAGTAATCCTGTTCTTCAGAATTTTTTTCCAATAATTTCCCTGCCGCTGATGTCAGACTAACTGTTCTGTAATAACCTGCCCTACCCCTGCTGCTCTTTAACCGAGGAACCACATTAGCTGTCCTCAATTCTAGTAGCACCTCCCCTGTAGAACTAAGTATATCTGCCAGGGCCCTAGAAATCTCTCAATGCATCCCATAGCAGCATGGGATACCTCTCATCATACGCTGGGCATTTATGCACCTGTATGCCCACAATAACATCTAACACCTCCTCCCCATTAACCTTAACAAGCCCTAAAACCTCTGTCTCCTAACTGAACTCCCCAGTTACAATGCCTTTCGTCTCTCTGAACACAGATAAGACCTCACCCTCACTCCATACATAGGTTGTCCCGTTGGTTTCTAATAGGTTCCAATGGACCTTTCCCTGGTAATCCTCTTACTCTTAACATAATTACAAAAAGCCTTGGGTTTTTCCTTGATCCCATCTGTCAAAGATGTTTTGTGGTCCCTCTTTGCCCTCCTAATTTCCTTTTTAAGCAACCTCCTTAACTCTTTATGGTTTGAAAGGCCCCCTCTCTTTCTAATACACTGTACCTGACATGTGCTTCCTTTTTCTTCATCAAACTCTCTATCCCTTGACATCCAGGTTCCCTCTACTCTTGGGGGAACATGCTGGCCCTGACTTGTTGCTATACTATTTTTAAAAGACTCCCTCTTTTCAAATGTAAACGTACCTGTCTCTGAATTAGATGTTTGTGGATTTCAAATCTCATTTCAGGGATGTAAACATAATCTAGGCTGACATGCCAGTGCACTTTTGGGTGGAAACAAAAAAACAAGTAGTACCATTTTGGTGAAGAGCGGGGGAGTTCTCTCTGTGCTGACTAAAATCCAAAATCAGATTTAAAATTGATCAATGTACTCATGGGAGCTTGTCTATTGCAAATTGACTACTATATACATTACAGTTTAAGTTTGCAACTTAACTTATATCACTTCAAATACTTCACTGACTATAAAACATTTGAACATGTGAAGTGTGCAATATAGTTGCAAGTTCTCTTTTTTTATAAAATGACTGTTTAGGACATCTCAAGAATTTTTTTTACTCGTGAAGATGCTGTATTAGCTTATTTTGAAGCCTGAACTGTTCACATCTTTGAGATATTTCAGAGTGCTTCTCAGTTATTTATGTATTCTTAAAGTGTAGTCACTGTAATAATGTAGGCAAATGCGGCAGCCAATTCTTACACAGAAGAGCACTCAAAGAGCAATAGACTAATGAACTGAAAGTCTGCTTTGATCATGTGGTTTGAAGAATAAATATTCACTTTGATACTGGATCGAACTCCCCTCCTCTTCATGTAGTGCCACAAAATCTTTTACCTTCACTGGAGAGGGCAGATCAGGCCTGGTTTACCATCTTGTCCAAAGAGTGGCACCTCCGACAATGTACTGCACTTAAGTACTGCACTTGGAATCCTGTTGTCTTTGTAATAGATCACACCAAGCCTCTTCAAAATAGTCTAGCCCCTAACTATTTCTTTCTTTAAAGGTAAGTGGTAAGGCGTTGCATTCTGGATGCAATTCAGTTGGTAAACTACTTGACATTAAGCAAAACCCACTTTATTTTGTCAATTTTAACTGTCGTGTAAAAATAAAAAAATTGGCTTAACTGTAACTCTTATCAAATTGTTTAACAGAATAATAGATATAATGTTCCATATAATATGTTCCATTATAGTAGCATCCCATAAACACACAATTGGCAAAGGTGAATTCAGTACAATAGATTGTCTCACCTGCAGTTCTACAGTCCAGTAGGAAAAACATCGAGAAAGGTCAGACAGAGAGAGAGAGACAGAAGTCACAGACTCTAACCTGATGCCGTGTGACTTCTGACGTTGTCCACCCCAGTCCAACAGTGGCACCTCCATATCAGAGAGAGAGAGTAGTAGGGAGAGCTGTATGGAAGCGTCAAAACCCAACAACTGCTATTGAAAAACTAAAACTAAAAATCTTGGTTCTGTGGGAGCTTCACCCCACCCATTCAGACTGCTTCTATTGATCAAACCTTAGGAAAAAAAGCCCGAAGGCCTCATAAGTTGTTTATTTTATGGCCTTTGAAGCAGACCAATTGTCACCTCTGATCGCAACTTTTCTTCACAAAGAAGGGACAAAATGCACCTATTAAAGCCATGGTTTCATCACATCTTCTACTCCCCCGCCCCCCCCCACCCCAAAATAAAAAGAACCATCAACATTCTAAAATGGCATCATTTTTAAAAGCCTTTAGTCTTATGCTGTTAATACATAACAATGCATAAACATTACATTGACTGTAAGCATGCAAACATTCACTACTACTGTCCAATTCCGTCAGTTCATTTCCCCACAACTTCTTCAAAGTTGTGACAACGAGTTGGCTGTTACATTTGCTTGTCCTGACACACCATTTTTGAATTGAATGGCTGCAATAATAAGCTCTACCTTAACAGTCTTGTATTTTAATCCTCAAATTTTTCCAAAAACTTTTAAGGGTTATGATCAGTATATGCAATTGTCTCAGACACATTGCAACATTTCAACATTTATATCGCCAGTAATGTCAACACCAAGCTCAAGGTCTCCTCTTCAATCGTGGAATATTTCTGTTGATGAGTATTCAGTTTTCTGGAAAAATACCCAATAAGTCTTTCAATCTTCTCCTCGTCTTCCTGTAAGAGTACAGCACCGACACTCGCATCAATAGCCACCTTGAATGGCTTTGCATGGTTAGGTAAGGCTAACACTAGAACAGTGGTGAATGCAGCTTTCAGGCTGTCGAATGCCTTTTGACATTCGTTCATCCACTGAATTTTGGTACAAACGTCCGATTTAAAAACCAGTCAGTCTCAGGAATCGTAGTACTTCCCTGTTTCCTAATGGTATGGGAAACTCCCCAATAACCTTTGCTTTCACATTCCATGGGGCTATCTTTCAACATCCAATGACATGGCCCAGGAATGTGACTTGGGCTTTTGCAAACTCATTCATCGACCAGGTTTATCACCAAGCCCAAGTCGATTGAAAAATTCTGATAGATGCTGCAAATATTCCTTCCATATGTGAGTAAAAATTACCAGGTCTTCAATACACGCCACCCAACTGGGTAATCTCAAAATGACTTTATTAGTTAGTCTTTGAAGTGTGGCTGGTGCACTTTCCATACCAACTGGCTTGCCTTTAAACAGGTACAGTCACTTGGCATCACAAAAGCCAAAATTTTCCTCACCTTTTTGGATAAAGGTACCTGCCGGTCTCCTCTGACTAAATCCAAGTTGCTGGTCCTACCATTTCAATACAGTCTTCCAAACGTGGAATAGGATATGAATCAAATTTTGTAACTGCATTAACCTTGCAATAGTCCATACATAATCATTGAGTACCATCTGGTTTTGGCACCATTACTATGGGTGAGCTCCATTCACTGCAACTCACTTTGATTATATTGTCTTTGAACGTGCGTTAAATCTTTTTTTCAAACCTGTGCCAACTTGAGGGTTAAGTCTATAAGGATGTTGCTTAATTAGAACAGCATTTCTTATATCTACATCATGCATAATTAGATTCATACTTCCCAGTTTATTCCCACATATCTCCCCATTCCCTGTTTGTAATGGCTATTTTAGGTCATTTTGCTTTTCCTCTAGAAGGTAACTCAATAATTTATCCTAATTTTTGAGAATTTCCTCATTGTCCAATTTAATTTAAGGAATGTCCAATTCAGAATCATTTGAACTCGATTCTTCAATCCGTGTTGTAACCGGTCACACGTTCTCCTTTTGTTTTCCTTCCCTTTTAAAATACCTTTATAGCATATTCACAAGATACACAGTGAGATTTCTTTTTATCAGGAATTCTTATTAAATAGTTCACCTCATTCAATTTCCTTTGGATTTGAACCTTGCCCTTAAAAGCTCACCTACCATTGCAAGTAACACTAACGCTTTATCTCCGCTAGCAAAATTACAAATTTTTGATTTCTTGTCTGTTTCTTCTTTCATCACAAGCTGTGCTACTTTTAAGTACTGTGCAGCCAACGCACCAGCTCTATTTAATCTTTCCCTAAAATTTGACACATCATCTAAGTGTGTGGTCTCTGAGCTCTTGCTCACCAATTTCTTAATTAATTTCCGTGTCCTCTCACTTCATCCCCTAAAACTAATTCAAATGGACTCAATTCGGTTGATTTGTTAATTGCAAAAAGTACGAATGGAATTTATTTATCACAGTGCTCTGGATAATCTGACTATAAGGCCTCAACACGGTCTTGAATTTTGATACCACCGTTGTAATGCTGCCTGCAATTCTGAATGGAATGCAGTGGATTTGAATTGTTTTATTCCTAAACTATTCATAATTTCCATGAATAACTTTGATGTAAAATTTGACCCTTGATCTGATTGTACTTCTGTGGGTAGTCCGTATGTAGTAAAAAATTTGAGTAACTCTTCTATAATCATTTTAGCCATGATACTGCGTAATGGAATGACCTCTGGAAATCGAGTAGACACATCCATTACAGTCAACAAAAATTAATTCCCACTTTTTGTTTTAGGTAAAAGTCCTACACGATCAATTAAGACTATCGCAAAAGCTTCCTCAAATGTGCGAATGGTTATTAAGGGTGCTGATTTTATCACTGCATGAGGTTTTCCATAATCCTCATAAGCAGTTTATGGGCTTTGAAGCAGACTAATCGGCACTTCTGATTTCAACCTTTCTTCATTAAAAAGGACAAAATACAGCTCCTAAAGCCATAGTATCGTTACATCTTGAACCTGCAATTCTCTAAGTGAGCCAAGAAAAAAATATGCAACTGCTTTCTTTGACGTGTTGGTTTTAAATACAATTAAAAACAGCTTTTATTTAAAAGAAATATTCCTTTTAAGATTATTGGAATGTTACTGGAAAACCAAACCTATAAAAGCGTAGGTAAAAAAGCAATTGGGCTGTTTCTCTTCTGTGGTGGTATAACGTAATTTTTCTCACCACTGCCCCGTCCTTATCCAGCAGCCACACATTTTCCTGGGAGAGTTGAGCAAATTCTAAGCAGTTATGGAGAAACACACCCAATCATGCCTACATTCCCACAAGTGGGCATCCTGCCAATGGATGACCTATGTAGCTATGCAGTCACTGGAACTAGCAGTTTCTTCTATTGCACCATATGTGACTGTCAAAGCATTCAGCTACTTTTCCCTAAAATCTTGGATTTTTTTTTTCTGATCTGCTTTGACATGCTGCCTTCATGTTCTCCTTCAAGAGGCCTTTTCAAAATTACCTGATTTCCTATATATTTAAGGAAGGTTGTAAATTCATTGGGAACAGTTGCCTATTGTCCACAATCCATATTGTGAAGCTACTTGAATTACATTCTACCATTTTTCCTATTGTAGAATATATGTCTGCCGCAAGCTCACCTTTCCACCTTTCTGAAGTATTGCATTAAGTAAGTAATGGACACAAGTCATTTGTAGGACATTCTAAACTATAATAAGAATGAGAGATCTATTTTTACCATTTTGTATCCAATATTTTATTTTATTTAAAATATGATTTATAAGAAAGCCATATACAACAGAATACACTTGGTTTTCAGAAAATAATTTGTCACGGTTGGGCCATTTGAGATCAGTTAACATTTAATTCCGCAATATGATTAAAAATCGTAAAAGATAGATTGGATGAGGATGGCAGGATTCCTTTTGCTAAAATGCTTTAGTGAACCAGTTGGGATTTTTACAATAATCTGACAGTTTCATTTTTGTTTCCTGATCCCAGATATCAATTTTTTTTTTTCAAAAAAATGCAACTGCAAATCTCATTGCCATGTTGGTGTTTGAACTTCCATTCTCTGTACGATGCCCTTGAATCCCAAGGTAAGTGCTACCAATGAACTATAGTTGCAATAAGTACCTACTTTTTGCTATCAAACAAACCATGTATATTGATGATTTAGCTTAAAAATTCCTCCAGATAATTGTTTTTTTCCATCATTGATCTTTGGCTGGCAATCTTATACATGGCTGTTAACAACTGTCAGATGGGAAGACCTTGAATTCCCTGAGTGAATCCCTACAGTGTGGAAACAGGTCATTCGGCCCAACCAGTCCACACCAACCGTTGGAGCATCCCACCCAGACCCATCCCCCTATAACCCACCTCAGCTACACATCCCTGAACAATTTAGCATGGCCAATCCACCTAGCCTACACATCTTTGGACTGTGGGAGGAAAACGCAGCACCCAGAGGAAACCGACGCAGGCACAGGGAGAATGTGCAAACTCCACACAGTCAGTCACTCAAAGGTGGATTCAAACCCGCGTCCCTGACACTGTGAGGCAGCAGTGCTAACCACTGAGCCACCATGCCACCCTTACTGTACTCACTGTGCTTACTGTGGATTGCCTGGCTGCTATTAGAAACCTATTTATGATGAATAATTTTATCATGCCTAATTTTCCTTTCCACTGATATAAATTTCAATGTTCAGAACTTAAATATGATTAGTCACAATTATTCTTTAATAATGCCATGTCTGAGGTTTGTAAAGTGCTGATCAAGAAAAAATTGGAAATAATTTCTACTCCATGCATGGTGCTGAATGAACTAAGATGATCAAATGATCCGGATGATTTGGTAGGCACTATTGCAGAAAATAAAAGCTATGACATAGAGGTTAACATATTGACATGCATAGAAAATTAGCTGGCTGATAGGAAATGGAGAAGATGCATAAATAGCTTTTTTTGGGTTGGTAAGATGTAATGGATGATGTGGTCTTGCGATTAGTCCTGGGACCTCAACTGCTTACAATTTATACAAATGACTTGAATGAAGGGATGGAAGGCATGTTTGACAAATTTGCTGATCGCATAAAGATAGCTAAGAAAGTAAGTTGTGAAGAGGAAAAATAAAGCTGCAAAGGGATTATAGATAGGTTAAGTGAGTGGGCAAAGATGTAGCAAATAGTTTCAAATGGACCAATGTGGAATTATATATTTTGGCAGGAAAAATTAAAAACAAATAGAGAGAGATTACAGAACTGAGGTACAGAGGGATCAGGAATGAATCACAAAAGATTAGTATGCAGATCCAGCAAATAATTTGGAAAGCTAATTGAATGTTATGATTTATCATGAGGAAAATTAAATGTAATTGTAAGTTTTTATTCAGTTATGCAGAGCACTGGTGAGACCGCATGTGGAATGCTGAGCACCATATCGGTCATTTTTTTTAAGGAAGAACGTAAATTCATTGGGAACAGTTCAGAATAACACCTGGAATGAGTAGGTTATCATGTGAGGAAATGATGGACAGGCAAGGTTTGCATCTGCTTAAGTTTAGAAGGCTAAGAGGCAGTTTGATTGAAACATACAAGATCGTGAGGGATGACTTGTTTGGCTGGTATGGACCAACAAATAACTGATGCTTTGTAAATATAAGTTGCATTTCCTCTGTCAATATAGAATACAAGTTAGTGAAAATCATGGTCAAATTATAGAGCGCCCTCAATAATATGTCCATTTTTGACCAACAAGGCATTGAAATGTTGGAGTCAGTGCAGAGAAAAATCATAGTTCTGACTTAATGTCAGTGTTAAGGTTAGACTTGAGTAATTTAGGCTTGTCAGAATTTAAAGAAGGGAGGTGCTTGAGATTACAAGATTGTATGGAAAAGGTTAAGCTGGAAAATTACTTCAAACCAAATTTCCTGTGTTTCCAATGTGGAGCTGGAAGAACACAGCAGGCCAGGCAGCATCAAAGGAGCAGGAAAGTTGACGTTTCGGGTCAGGACCATTTCCTGCTCCTCTGATGCCACCTGGCCTGCTGTGTTCCTCCAGCTCCACACTGTGTTATCTCTGACTCCGGCATCTGCAGTTCTTGCTATCCCTGTTTTTCCAGTTCTATGTGACCAAATACAGTTCGGTAGAATTTCTTAGTAAGCTGTATGGGATGTATATGGAGCAATAACATCTGTATTTCAACTCTGTTGTAAGAGTAACACCAAGCAGATAAGTAGATCGTTTCACACTCACTTTAGGTTTGCTCATGGCTTCCAATCCCTGGTTGAGCAGGTTCTCCCAAGCCCCCTCACTTTTGATGGCTTGCATTGCCCATGATGGGCTTTGTTTGTAAACTTCTAATTGCTTGCACAGGTGATTGCTGGTGTTGGTTAATAGCTTAAAAGCTGTTCAGTTGTGTGCAAGAGAACTTCTGGATATAAAAGAAGACATAGGGGATGCAAGTACAAAAGATGTAAGCATTCAACTAAGCTTCAGGAAGTGTCTCTTTTCACAGGGTCATGAATAGGTCAGTGTGTGGACTCCTAGCAAATGGTCAGCTGGGAGTTGGACAAGCACCTACATGAAGCTGATATCACTGCATACAAATGGTAGATGAGTTGGGTTTTATTACTTCATGATGACTGTGGAATTGTAAATTTGCTAGGAGTACTTTAGGAATTGAAATCAAACTTGCAGGGATTATTATATCGTTTGTGAGCACTTTTCCTCCCTCCGGATATCACCTGGCTGTTAGCAATGAAGAAACAAAGCTTGGGTGCAGGGCCTGAGAGATTTTAGGTGTGTCATGGCTTACAACATGTCTGCTGGAAATAGACTTAGTGAGCCATCTATATGTCATTTCTTAAGTAAGTATAAAGCTTTTGATTCAAATCATAACATGGTTAATTGGAAGTTCTGGAATGTAATTCGGTCTTTGTTTTCAGAAACTTGTGAACTCATTCCAAACACTGGTGCCTGTATCCAAGATCGCACTAAGTCACATTCACCCATCGTCCATTTGCAAACCCACACTGGCTACTACTTTAGTAATGCCTCAATTTTTAAGACTTTCTTCCTTGTTTTCAAATTGGTCCATGGCCTCAACCCCTCCCATCACCCTTCACACTTGTTTTACCTTCCACATCTTTCTTGAAACCTGTGCCCTCCTCTAATTCATGCCTGTTATGCATACCCTGTTTCCACTGTTTCATTGACAGCCAATCGATAGGTTGTCAGTTCCAGAGCTTAGGACCCTATCTCCATTGGAGGTACTATATAATTGCAAATTATATTAACTATCACAATAGGTGGAGATTTAATAGACTGATAAAAATTGTCCCTTTGAGTTGAGGAAAATACATGACACAGTAACACAGAGGGGAAGGTATCAAAACTCAATTTCAGAATAAATCATGTGCCAGATGTTTTAAGACATCAATGGACAAGATGTGAAGCTTCAAGAAGTGAAGGTCTCACTGAAGTCTCTTGTCAACATTTTATTAACTCAAAAATACTTTGTTGATATATACACACATTTATTATAGATTTCTCTAGTCAGTATTGCATACAGTCAATTGAGTTTTAAATGGCTTAGATTTTGCACTCATAATGATGGTGAAATAGTCAGTGATTACCATTTTTACTCCTTTCATACTGACAGCAACTTCTAGACTGCACATGTGCAGTTAAACATTGGATTCTAGATGTTCCTGCCAGAGATTCTACATTTCCTCATATACTACACTGTTGAAGTTTCCTCAGATTACAAGTTGTAATTGCAATCTTAAATATAAAATGTTATTGTTACTGCTTCTTTCATATAGTAGAGTCAAATTTTCACGCTTTGACCATTTTATAAATTGCAAGTGTACGACAATGGTCATTAGTATTAGCATAGTTATAGCTTAGCGTTGTTGCATTATTGTATGTTATTAGAGACCTGCTTTGTCACTCCTATAAGCTTAATCACATCCACCATTCTTTGGCTATGAGGATGAACACTGTCAGCCAGCCCTTTGGTAATGTTGTTCTATAACCAGCAACTAGGATGCAGGAGAGAAAAAAAGATAGCAATGTACCTTTAGTTTTCTTAAAGAAATTCAAAGGACAGGAGGAAGTTACAAAGCTAAGGTGGTTTGAAGCCATGGGGAGGAATTGAAAATGAGCATAAAGCGATAAATGTGTGACCATTATGAATAAATCTGGTGGGAAATCAGGTAGAACTTCAGATAGAGCAACTTATTGTCATATGAAGTACTTGATGTGAACAGTACAGATGTCTTTAAGGGAAAGTTGGACAAAACATGGAGAACAGATTAGAAGAATATGTTAATAAGATGTGAGAAGAGGGGTAGGAGGAGACGCATGTGGAAAATAAATATCAGGCTGATTGACCTATATGTACTATAAACTCTATATTTGATTTTGGAGGTTATGAGTATAAATACATTTAAATTCCACTCTGCAACACAGTACGGGTTCTTTCTGTGATGTTTGTTTATTATTTTCTCAAAGTAAGCAGCTACTTGATGTCTTAATATTTGTCACTTCACATTTGATCATTTCACTAGGGCATGCTGTCTGAAACTTGGATGTTTTCCATGGGAAGAGAAGAAAAATCATTAGGCAAATCTCCTATCCAACATTTCACATACTTCCCACTGGCTAGTTACTGAACAAGATTGAAATTTGGAAATACAACATGTTCAATTAAGGTTATTAGAAAGCAGTATTGTAAATAATTAAACAAACCCTTGGTGGTAGCTCAATAGAATCAACCAGTTTCCACCCAGTACCCTTGGTGAATAAACACAGCCAGCTCCCAATAGTTACTGGTTTTAGAACCGCATACTTGTATTTTTTTTCCAGCTAGGTGAATTAAAAGTATGAACTCAATACCTCTGCTTGGACAATAGAAGATGGAGTTATACTTCTTGGTGGTTGCAAGGATGTTCCAAGGATTGAGCTGTCATAACATTAACATCAAAATGTGTATTCATTTCAGAAAGAAAACACACCTATTCTTAAATATAGTCTTTTCAAACTGTAATTACTGTCTAACAGTTGTGACACACAGAAGAGTGGACATTTCCAAATTTTTGATAAAATTCATTCTGGGCACGAATCAAAGCCTCTTCATCTATGTACACTGCAGGTCGTTTGGAGGTTACAAAGTACTGAACTTTTCTAAGATTCCATCCAATTACATACATCAGGTACCCACATACTGCAGCAGTCGATCTACCCACACCTGCATTACAATGGACATAGACAGTATGGCCATTTTCCAGCAATCCATGAAGCAGGTATACAGCTTGAGGCAGCATCTTCACCCTGCCTGATGTGAAACAAGCCAGAGAAATCAATAAAATGTTAGATAGTTTCATCAGATTGAAATTATAACTAGTCAAAAAAAGAGCAAGTCAAATATTTTGTAGTTTATCTGCAAGTGCAATTGAGGAACTGAAAGGAAGACTTAAATTATTTGTTAAGCTGGAAATGTTTGACCCAGGTAGTGTTTATATCGCTGAGGATTTGTCAAAGGAAGCCTCAACTTTCATTCTCAATCACTTAAGTTGTTCAATGCAACAGAAGAAGGGAAAACTAACTAACAATTGTAATAATACTTTATGCACTTTGGTTGTCTTATAACTTGGACATATGCATCTAAATTATTAATTGCAGCTGAAACATTACGAGGATGCTGAATGAATTCACGACATTTCTCAAGGCTATCACTGTAAGGGATTACATAATAAATAAGAAAATTTCTTTATCCAGAATGTGATTAAATTACCCCACAAGGAATAGTTAAGATGAATAAGGGAAGCTGGGTAAGTATGTGAGAGGTAAAACAATAAAATATACAATGATAGAGCAGGATAAAGGTGGGAGGAGTGTGTACAGAGTATATGTTGGGTTGAATTGCTTCTTTATAAAGTTCCATATAATTTTAAGAATTTTCTTTCATTGATGATGACCAGGAAACTGGTCATTTGTTAAATGTCAGGAATTGCTGTTCGTAAGCTGTGCCCTTCCCTATTTCCACAATGGGAAAGTAACTAACAAAAACCCAGGAACTTTTGCTAAATAGAATTTTTCTATTAAAAGTGTCAAAACAGTGTAAACTTTGGCTAAGGTAAGTCTTGATAAGAGAAATAATGTGAACAAATAAATATTTGTCTATTAAAGACACTGTATTCTTATTTACTGTACCACTGTTTGAAATTTCTCTCAAAGTCAGGTGCTCTGCTCCACTGTGGTTTGGATGGTGCATGTTTTTGTTCCAATTATTAGAGTAAGGGCATTGCTGGTAGGGTCAGCATCCATTAATATATACTCTACCCTTATGTCCCTATGCACTCTGCATTTTCCAGGAATCAAAAAATCCCTTCACTGCCTTTGATCATATCTTAGGAAAACCAAGATACTGTATATCTACATTTACAAAAGATCTTTGATGAGCTGGATTTGACAGTGAATAATAAACCAAGCAGAACAAGTAGAATAGATAGCAGAGATAGTAGGAACTGCAGATGCTGGAGAATCCGAGACAACAAGGTGCAGGGCTGGATGAACACAGCAGGCCAAGCAGCAT